CAAGGCAAGTTGAAACTGGAGTTCATATACCAGAAAACACACGGGGAAAGCTGGGGGACCCACTGACGAGCCGAACCCCTCGCAGCTGCGTCAGGCAGCGGCACAAGATCGGCGAAACACGCGTGTCTGGGCTTTTAGCTAATACCTGTGTTGTTAGTACGGTAAATTATTGCACAATGCTATACTACTGGCTGCCTGTTGGCGGTTTGTGAATATTAAGCGGTTATTCCGCAGTAGCTGATGGATTTCAGCTCAAATATTCATATCAAATTTCGGACCGTGCCTGAAAAGGCCTGTTTCGAAAGAGTTACTCCAAGTTCGCGCATTAATTTCCTCGGAAATTAAGCAAGGCAAGATCAAGTCACTGGTTGCAGATCTGCACATTATAGCACCTCAGTCAAGAGCAGGCTACACACAACCTATGACTCGAAAGTTGACGGGTGTTCTAGCGGCCCTATTCGATGATTCAGTGGCATGTCTGTTCGCGGTGATTCATCCAACATGCCCGAAAATGACTATTACTCACAAGCTCAGAATATGCCCTGTAATGTGTAAAATAAAAAAAAGTTAGGGAAGAGGGGCACAGCTGATTCGCTTTGCAGATTCATAATTTTTTGTACAAAACCAACACTGCCATGTATGCTAATAGGCGATTACTTAGATATCACAACATGAGGAGAATGGCGTGTGTGTGTGTGTGTGTGTGTGTGTGGGTGTGTGTGTGTGGTTGTGAGTGCAGACACAGGGTGTCGATCGTCGTGCTTCTTATGCGAACGACAAAAATAAATAAGGTGCTATTTTGGAATGGAAAACTGCAAACGCATCTCGGAAACGGAGGGACGCCGAGAGGGCATTAACATTAAGGACTACTGCTTCACTTCGGTGCAGACTATGCGTGCATATGTGAGAATGCAAGCTCTTGGCGTCGGCAACGGCATAAATGTTTAGAGATGATACAGGAGAGAGAGAGGGGGCAATGTTAAAGGTGGAAGAGAAGATGCACAGGTGAGGGGGGGGGAGAGAAGGAAAGAGATGGAGGCGCGCTTAGCAGCAGATCAATCGAATGTCGAGCGTGAACGACATTTCAGATGTGTGCATCACTGTACGCGCGTAATGCATATACGTAGCTGCGCAGCGGGGAAGGCGATAATTTATTGATTTTACTGAACTACTGTAGCGCCGCCGTCGCCGCCGGCTGTGGTGGTGCCTCCGAATCGGCGCTTGGAGCTCTTCCGCCAACCGTGGTCCCGACTGGTGAGGCCGATGCCGTGGACGCCGTTCCAGTAATCTCCAGTGCTTTGGAGGGGGGAGTCTTGGAGGACATTTTAGGCTGTTGGCCACCTCTTGAGGTGACGGCGGCAGTAGCGGAGGAGGAAGAGAGCAGCTGGATCATGCGATCGCGGAAGGGTGGGCCACCGTCGCTATCGTCAGGAAGGCGCATCAAAGACTCGTCGATGGGCTCGCCCTTCGCAATCTTTGCCCAGCAGTCACGGTTGGCCATGCAACCGTCTAGCAAGGGCTTCAATTTGCCGCAAACTCTTACAATAACCTGAAAGCGCACGGAATATCCATTGCATTAGGTAAGGTCTGCATACCCTTAGTGCTACCAAGTAGGTGTAAGGGGGTTAACAATGCAGAACGGTCTAGGGGGGTCTGTTGTGCTCTTCAGTTGCAAGAACTCCAAGGAAAAAAGGAATATTTCAGTGTTACATGTCAGCTACTGCAGTCGACAGACACTCATGAGACCAAAATTATGACTTTACTATGACTTTAGCAGATAATGAGATTCTACTGTGGTAGTTACAAATCAATTTCTGGGTGGTGGGCTGCCATGTGCCGGAAGGGATGGGGAAGCAGGCATGCACAGAATCATGATAATGGGGTCGAAGTACTTAAATTAAATGTCACTAATACTAATTATTAATCCGAAATTCAAGCAATTCTACACGGAAAATAAACAGGTAAGATGCGTTGATAATAAGGAAATGGTATTTTGGCAGATTTTGAATAATTCATATTGACCCGACTGTGAAAAACTCCGCGCCTCGGTGGGATTCGAACCCACGCAGTAAGGAGAAGGCTTTAGTACAGCCAACGCTCTAACCACTTGAGCTACGAGGCCCCGCCGGACGACTCGAGTTTAATCCCATTTGGGTCAAGTTTACCCGCCCAACCTACTGCAACGTCTGGAATCCACCAAATCTGATACAGTAAGTTGACAGCCCAAGCAGGATTTCCTAAGAAATTCACCTAGAATCCACTAGATGACTACCAGGCTCTCGTAATTCATAGGTACTGTACTAAAGCCTTCTCCTTACTGCGTGGGTTCGAATCCCACCGAGGCGCCGAGTTTTTCACAGTTGGGTCAATATGAAATTGGTTTTCGTAATAAATAAAATACTCAAAGTATTTGAAAACATTCTTCACCGAAACGGTCCCTTCGCAGGCGCAACTCTCAATAATGAACAAACGGTGCTTTAGTCAGATTCTGCAGGACTTACTGATCAATTGAAAGAACCTTCGAAAACCCATGGCTGTGCGCCTTCATTGTGTCTTGCACTCAACTGCTCCAACCGTTCTCGTGTCATCTGTCTACGAGTAGCTTCAACAAGGTTCCTTGCGACGCCTGCAATTCAGTGTACTGAGATCGAATTAAACGATCAGCCTATTCACACACAGGAATTCAGTTGTCAGTGAAGAGGCGAAATCCCTTGTCTCGAGCCGACATGCATACGATGGATGCCGGACACGAATTTGCTTCTGATAAAACACGTATACTTAGTGCATGACCGCATAAGGCCGAGAATTTCTGGAGGACATACGAAGATGACTCATACAGTCGTCGGCACATCGAAATAGACGCCGTGTACGGTAGGACGACGACCAATCTGCCCGCGATTTCAGCCGACAGCAACGGGCTAGTGGTAGGAATGACACAGAAAGATTGTTTTTTTCAGGCATGGTAAAGATGTTGACTGTTTGGCACACTTGCTGCATGCCTAACGGCTGTCTGGGAAAACACCGTTGAAAATTTATGAAATCAAGTTGGTCAACAGTCCCAAAGGACTCATTACATTCACGTTTTGTATCTTGGGTTACTCGTCCTCCAGCACATGCGTAGATACACGCATATGTAGGCAGAATAACATTGCCGACAAAGGCAAGGGAGACTGGAATAGCCATTTCTGGCTTTTTCGGCGTCGTCAGCCAGTCATTCACAACCCGAGGTGTGTAACATCTGGGGTTCGATGTCTCCACCTGTTGGTTATAAGGCCAACGTTGTAAGCACTGAGCTACGGGCTAATTTCCTGTCGGTTGCGATCAGGGAGAGGAGAGTTCACCTCGGGGTTGTGTATGACTGGCTGACAACGGCTAATTAGCCGGAAATAACCATTCCATTGTCCCTTGTCTTCGTCGGTAATGCTATTCTGCGTACATTATGCATTGCTATGCGGCTGCTAGCTGGGCTCGGGAGGGTGTCAGAAGGCACAATGGGACGAGTGAGCTCCATAAAGCGATTGGTGAGCGCCCCTCCACCACATACCCTATATACATAAACAAAGGGAGACTAGAATGGTCATTCCTGGCTAATTAGCCCTTATCGTCCAGCCATACTAAACCTCGGCTTTTGCGACACTTGAGACAAAAATCAGCGCTCTCTCGGTTATTTGTACCACGTCCTAA